GGATGCACAAAAATTCACCAGTTTTGAAGTTCTTTTTAAATGCATGCTAATATGAGAGCTGTCCCAATGCAATCTAACAAAATTGTTTCGAATGAAGTTAAAGACAATTAAGCACTACTAGCACCATCTTATGGAAAACAACTAACTATTTGGCCAAACCTATATATAATGAAAATCTTGGTGGGCATTAAGGGAAATGTTGACAGCAGTACAGTCATAGTCGGAATTTTAACATCCTATCATTATCAACGAATTGATCTTCCAGACCAAAAAAATCAACAGGGCAACAGTGACCTTAAATGATACACTGGGTCAGATAAATTTAATTGATATTTACAGGACATTTCATCCCAAAGCAGCAGAATATACATTCTTCTCAAATCCACATGGAGCATTCTCACAGATCCCATGTTAGGACACAAAATACATCTTAACAAATTCAAGAAGATTAAAGTCATACGAAGCATCTTCTCAAATCAAAATGGCATGAAATTAGAAATGAACTACAACAGAAAAAAACCTCAACAATATTCAAACAAATGAAGACTAAATAATGTTATTAATTAAACAATTAATAACAAGGAAGAAAACAAAAATTACCTGAAACAAATGAAAATGCACACAAAACAACCCAACATCTCTAAGACACAGCAAAAGCAGTCCTGAGAGGGACATGCACAGGATTACAGGCCTACATCATGAAGCAAGAAAAATCTCAAACAATCCGAGCTAACACCTAAGAAAACTAAAAAAGAAAGACCAATGAAACCAAGAGCTGGTTCTTTGAAAAAATAAACAAGAGAGACAAACCTTTAACTAGATTCTTCAAAAAAAAAAAAAAGAGAGAGAGAGAGAGAAGACCCAAATAAATAAAACCAGAAATGAAGAAGTACCAATAACATCACAGAAATACAAAGGATTGTGAGAAAATACTATGAACAACTATATGCCAACAAATTGGACAACCTGGGAAAAATGGATAAATTCCATTTTTAGAAAGTCTTCCAAACTGAATCAGTAAGAATAAAAAACCTGAATAGACCAATTATAAGTAATGAAATTGAAGCAGTAATCATCCCGGCAAACAAAAGTCCTGTACGAAATGGCTTCATAGGCAAATTTCACCAAATATTCAAAGAAGAACTAAAATCTATCCTCAAACTCTAACAAAATATTCATGAAGAGGGAAGACTTCCAGGCTCTTTTTACGAGACCAACATTATCCTAATTCCTAAACCAGATAAAGACACTACAAAGAAAGAAAATTATAGACCAATATTCCGATGAACATAGATGTAAAAATCTCCAACAAAGTATTAGCAGACCAAATCCAGCAATACATTAAAAGATCATACAGTCCTGGCTCCTGTGGCTCAGTGGATTTAGCGCTGGCCTGAAAACCAAAAGGTTGCAGGTTTGATTCCAGTCAGGACACATGCCTGGATCGTGGGCTAGGTCCCCAGCTGGGGGAGTGCAAGAGGCAACCAATCAATGTTTCCCTCAATATTGACATTTCTCTCCTTCTTTCTTCCTCCCTCCTCCCTCTCTGAAAATAAATAAATAAAATTTCTTTAAAAAATCATACACCAGGATCAAGTGGGATTAATTCTGGGAATGAAAGATTTGTACAATATTTGTAAATCAACAGATGTAATACATCACATAAACAAAATGAAGGATATAAATGACATGATCATAAATAGATGCAGAGAGAGCATTTGATAAAATCCAGCACTAATTTATGATAAAAAACTCTCAGAAAAGTGGAAAGAGAAGAATCATACCTCAATATAATAAAGGACACATATGACAAACCAACAGCCAATATCAAACTCAATGGGCAAAAACTAAAAGCATTTCCCTTTATATAAGCAACAAGACAGGACTGTCTGCTTTCACCACTTTATTCATCATAGTACTGGAAGTTCTAACTACTAAAATCAGACAAGAAGAAATAAAAAGCATTCAAATTGGAAAGGAAGAAATAAAATTGTCATTATTCATAGATGACATATTGTACATAGAAAACTCTAAAGACTCCATCAAAAATCTATTAGATCTTACAACTTCAGCAAAGTAGCAGTATACAAAATAAATATGCAGAAATCAGTTGCATTTTTGTACACCAATAATGAACTATAAGAAAGAGATATTAAGGGACTTCCGCCAAGATGGAGGCATAGGTGGAAGCACTGTGCCTTCCCACACAACCAAGTTTAAAAACAATAAAGTTTTAGCAACGAAAATGCAGCCAAACCACAGAAAATTGAACTACATGGAAGTTTGACAACAACGAACCCTTCAGCCAAAGGGTAAAGAGGGGCAGAGCCAGCAGCAGAGCGGGGTCGGGCAGGAAAGATACACAGGACTGACCCAGGCATGCAACCCAGGCACGCCGGCAGCCTTAGGCGGATCCCGCCTAAGTTGTGGAGTAACTAGTGGGTGGACCCATTGAGGGTTGACCACAGTCACACATTCGTGCACAGATAAACTAGCGAAGGAGCAAGCAGTGAGACAGACCGTGCAGGCCCCAGTGGCAGAAAGTGGCAGAGGGGACCGCCATTGTCCCTCTCTGACCCGACCCCACATACAGCGTCACAAACCAGCAACCTGGGTGGCCTCTCTGTTACCCGCCCCCACATACAGCATCACAAACCAGCGACCTGGGTGGCCCCACCCTGGTGAACACCTCCTCGTACGTAACAGGTGCGAACAGATCAAAACATGGCTCAAGAACAACTCAGGGCCCCAGAGCCAATAAATCTAAATGATGAAGAAATAGCCAAACTTTCGGATGCACTGGTGATCAGGATGCTCACAGAACTGGTTGATTATAGTCACAAATTAGAGGAACATATGAAGGCTAAACTAATTCAAATGAATGGAAATGCACAGGAAACCAATAGTTATGGAAAGGAAACTGGGACTCAAATCAAAGGAGTGGACCAGAAGGAGGAAAAATACAACCAAACAGAAAAGGATGAAGAAACAAGAATTCAAAAAATGAGGAGAGGCTTAGGAATCTCCAGGACATCTTTAAAGGTTCCAACATCCGAATTATAGGGGTACCAGAAGGGGAAGAGGAGCAGCAACAAGTGGAAAGCTTATTTGAACAAATAATAAAGGAGAATTTCCCCAATCTGGCAAAGGAAATAGACTTCCAGGAAATCCAGGAAGCTCAGAGTCCCAAAGAAGGTGGTCCCAAGGAGGAACACACCAAGGAGCACATCACAATTATATTAGCCAAGATTAAAATGAAGGAGAGAATTCTAGAAACAGCAAGAGAAAAGAGGACATTCACCTACAAAGGAGTTCCCATCAGATTGTCAGCAGACTTTTCAAAAGAGACCTTAGAGGCAAGAAGGGGCTGGAAAGAAGTATTCCAAGTCATGAAATCCAAAGAACTACATCCAAGATTGCTCTATCCAGCAAACCTTTCATTTAGAATGGAAGGGCATATAAAGTGCTTCTCAGATAAGGTCAAATTCAAGGAGTTCATTATCACCAAGCCCTTATTATATGAAATGTTAAAGGGGCTTATCTAAGAAAAAGAAGATAAAATATATGAACAGTGAAAGGAGAGCAAACTCACAGTTATTAAGAACCACACCTAAAACAAAAGCAAACTAAACAGACACCTAAAACAGGAGCAGAGCCAAAGAAATGGAGATCACATGGAGGGTTAGCAACAGGGGGGTAAGAGGAAGGTGGGGGGAGGTACAGTGGGGAGAAAATAGACAGGGGGAGGGCAAGAGTAGTGTGGGAAATAAAGAAGCTAAAGAACTTATGACACATGGACATAAACTAAAGGATGGGAATGTGGGGGGATGGGTGTGCAGAGTAAAGGAGAATGAAGGGTGGGGGAATGAGACAACTGTAATGGCATAATCAATAAAATATATTATGAAAAACTTTTTCTTTGTACTTTAGCATTTTTCTTTGCAACTTACCATCTCTCTTCCTCCAAACACTATACTCGAATGTTAACTTTTCAGACACCTAATATAGGGATATATATTGTTCTGGTATTGTCCTAAGTTCTGGTATTAAGGAATATAGGGAGCATAAGATGGCTTTCAAAATATTTAGAAAAAGCAAGCACATAAATTATTTTTCTCAGATGTTTTCTGGTGCTATCACTCTTCTTCAAAAACATTTTGCCCACCAAAATAGATGAATTAACCAACTTACTTTTACAACTTATTGAACTCAATCTTCCAGAATGGTGGATATACTAAATGTAAAATTTATTAAAGAGTTCTGTATTTTTTCTGTTTTTCTACTATAAGTCATTTAACCTAGAGGTTGAAGTTTGGTTGATACCAAAATAGTTGTCAATTCCCCTGTTCTCCAATATATGCTCTTATTCACCCATTGTAAAAGAATTTTTAAGCTAAAAATATGTTACCAAAGTAAAGACGACTTCAGGATGTTTTCCAGAAGAGGGCTGTATCCAAGCTCTGGCCAGTGGGATTTAACCAGAGGTTTTGTGTCAAGCTTTCCTGAATCTTCCTTAGGAAAAGCTGACTCCTTATTGATCTCAATTTGGATTGTGAAGATGCCTATTTCACTCTAGAGATGAGAGCTAAACAGGGGGAAGCCATGGGCTCTCCGATGTTGCAGAGCAGAGGTAGCAATGAGCCCTGCAATCCCTGAGTGAAAAAGATAAACTTCACCCCATTCAAGCAACTGTGATTTGGGGTTCCTATCAATGGAACCAAAACCAATCTTAATACTGCAACTCTGTTACTTGGGGTATCTGAAAAATAAAAAACACGTTTTTATGTTTTTGTCCTCTGAAATTCTTGAGTGACTATCACAGAAGATGATCCTAATAGATTTTCCTAAGTTCTGGTATTTTAAGGAATGGTTTAATAACAAGCCAAACTATATAGTCCTGAACAAAAATTGAAGTAAACTTCTGGTATATAAATCACAAACTGAATTTCAGGCCTGCAGTATATCAGGTAAATAAGTTAACAAAACAAAATACTGTACCATTTAGGTTTTTAAATTTTTTATTTTAAGAAAATACATAGCCGAGAATCATTTTATCTACGCTGTCGTTGATGTAACTTTGAAAATCTAAATAAGCTTATTGACTTCTGAATCTTTTATATTAACTTGTGTTTAATTTTCACATTACTGTTCTTATGACATATACTCACTGAACAATTTTTCAACATCATTTAAAATGAAAGACAAAGGTCTACATCTATGAAATAAGTAAATGTGTATTAGTAAGAATTAAAACATTTTTGTCAATAAAAATAGTGGCTTGTTCGTGAATTGTCTATCAGAGTTGAGAAAATTCAGTTAAATTTTTGTTTCAATTTGCCAGCAAATACTGTACTACTTAGAAGTCATTCATCAGTCTTAAACCTTAAACTCACATTCCACACCTTAACTTCCTTGAGTTGGAGGCTTACCATCTTAACACGGGATAGCAGGGCTTCCTTGAGGTTACTGATGAAGAGGGGGCACCTGCCTGCTCACTAGCTACTGTTCTAACCTTGACTGAGCAGGCCTGCAAATAAATCCCATACCACTTACCCATTCATTCTGACTTGCAAAAATGACAAGACCTGGATGAAAATATCATAAAAAAATCAGCTAGAAAAACTCTTTTTTTTTAAAGTTAGTCTTTTTCTTTCTTGATTCTTTTTAAAACAATTTTATTTATTTTTTGAGAGAGGGGAAGGGAGGAAAATGTCAATGTGTGAGAAATACATCATACAGCTATCAGCTGCCTCCTGCATGCCCCCAACTAGGGATCTGACCCACAACACAGGCAGGTGCTGGGGCAGGGAACTGAACCAGTGACCTTTCAGTTTGCAGGCCAATCCACTGAGCCACACTAGGCAGGGCTAGAAATATGTTATATTTCTAAATGTTATAATCTTCCTTTGGCAGACCACCAGGGAGTTTGTATATTTGATAGAATCCACACAATTTGAGTTCCTCTATGCAGTCCCTGCTTATTGCATTTTTGTTTTAATTTCAGATAAAAGTGAAAAAAAAAGATATGATTACACCAAATACATTTTTTAAAAGGCATCTGGAGAATTACAAAGAAAATGTAATGAGAAATATGTATGTTTCATTCCCTTTTCCGGTATTCTCTTATAACTCTGCTTTCTTGGAAGAGAATTCATGAACTGTAATATTTGAGCAGATTCTCATCTGTAGGCTTTAGGATTTTCTTATCTGCCATGTTCACCACCCATCCAGGAGCAAGACCAAAGAAAATCTGCCTTGGATCCTTTCGAGTACTAAGCATCTTGAAGAGTTCATCTTTAGTGATATCAGGTAAAATATAACCATACTTCTTGGCAAGTTCAAGTCTTGCTTCAGGAAATTTGGCAGGATCCGCCAGGTAACCCCGATTCTTTGCATCAGTATAATATGGGACCAAGGCTTCAGGTGGAAGCATTCTTTTTGGAATGGGTTGTCCCCGCAGGAAGAATGGAACAGGTTTGCATAGAATTTCTAAAAAAAAATAAAATAAAAAACCAACAAATATTGGCTATAGATATATATATATACATATATATGTATATGATGTTCTTTAATAATTGTCTTTTAATTATTTTTTAAATATTACCAAGATCAGAACTTAATTCTAATAACTTGTTTTAATTAAATAGGCTTGTCTTAAGTAAGAAAATGGAAATGCTTCATTTTTGAAAGTTTGTAACTTAAAAGTCTAAGTCACTCCTCAGTTACCAATGAATAATGAATATTCTATGCATAGGTAACATCATATTTAAGCCTTGTGTTTAAAATTGAAAACTAAACCTCTTTATGTCATACTGGTTAAAGTATATTAAAAAAAAGATGGAGCCTCAACAGCCAAACCACTAGTAAGAAATCCTAAGTGCCTGAACAGAAAACCAAAGGGCCTGAACTGCAAGTCAACGAACAATGAGGACTTGTAAAATCCTTATGGCAGCCAGGACCACACAAAGAAGAAAAGAAAATGACTGCAGAACAAGCTTACCCAGGCTTCTTGGATCATAGAAAGCTGTAGTAACAACACCGCCATTTTTTTCAATTGCAGCAATAGCTAGTTCTGAAGCCAACTGTACTTCAATATTAACTTTTGCCTTAAAGGTGTCAGCACCCTGTAATATGTTAAAACAAAGTCTGTTATTAGATAGCTTGAATAAAAGTAAATTATGGCAACCTTCCTTTTTACAGTGTTTTCTCTTCCAAAATACCCACAATGTAACAGTCATTCCTATTTTTTCTAATTTTATTTTTTTAGTCATTCCTACTTTAAATACCTCTGCTGTGACATCCTATCAAATAATATCAAATTTTTTACATTTTTTTAGACGTCTTGTTTTACCAATTTTCATTCCTGTAATCTGGGATGACTATCTTTTCATTTGATGTCTTTAGTAGACCTCACTATAACTGCCCACTCCCAGTACTTCACTAATTGTAGACTGTATAATTCTCCTAACAACTCTATGACTGAATTACTGCTAAACCAATGTCACTGATGGGGACACTGAAGTAAGAGATTAAGGAAACTGCCCCAGACCACAAAGCTAGGTTTCTAATCCAGGGAGTTTAGTCACAAGCATCTATATCCTTAACTACCCTATGCTGTATGATATAGACAAAAACTTAACTTTCTCATCCCTAAATAAGCTAGAGGCCAAGAGATGATTAAAGAGGGGGATGAGTGGGTTAGAACCAGGGAAAGAACAAAAGATCTGACAACCCCATCTGAGTGTTAGAGTCCCTCTAGGGAAAAAAGTAGAAAAACATAAATTTACTTTGCATTCACTATTGATTTTATTATAGCCTCTAAACTGGTAATAATAAACATAATGATGATGAATGTCTACCTTTCCTGAGAACAGTCAACACTAAAACAATGCAGTACTAAACTTTAAAGTTGTTTTTGGTCACTTTAATTAGGATGTACATGCTATATTTTACTTTATTTTTATTATTTTTTAAATTCTCATCTCAGGGTATGTTAATTTCAGAAAGAGAGAGAAAGGTGGGGAGAAGGTGAGGGAGTGGGGGAGAAATAGAGAAACACTGATTTGAGTGAGAAACATCAATTGGTTGCCTCTCATATGCATCCCAATTGGGAATCAAATCTGTAACCCAGTATGTGCCCTGACTGGGAATCAAACTCACAAACTTGTGGGTTGTAGAGGACAATGCTCCAAACTGAGCCACCCAGCCAGGGCTATTTTACTTTAATTTCAAAACATTCTAACAAAAATAAAAAGATGGTGGCCAACAGCATTCCTTTAGTGGTTACAAAAATATTTTATTAATTTGGTATGGCTGAAATAAGCTGGCTCCTAATCAAGTTCCTTTTCTTAATTATAAAATTCTAATGTATCTCAAAATGTTCCACCAATTTCAAGACACATCTTCTCACAATTTTTTCCATTTATAATTCCAGCCTGCATTTGTATAATCAATGGCAACTCTGACTCAACAAAATAACATTTTATCATATTATCTGTGATTTTTAATTATCATGCCATAGTTGCCTAATCGTTTTTCTATCCTTGGGCAATGGAGTTAGTTCCATTATTTTCAGTATTATGAAAAGGATTTTTAGGAATATCTTTGTATCAGCTAGGTTTCTTTTGTTTTTCCTTTAGTACACACATTCCCAAATTAGTATTTTTGTGCTGAAGGATAAATATAATGTTAATAATCACTTTTTATTGCAAATCTGAAATCCAGAAAAGGTCAACCTATTTACAAAGCTATAAATGATATGTAACAATACTTCTGAAGCCATGGTGCTGATGTTTTTCACTATTATTTCAGCTAGAATAGACACACACTTAAAAGCTGTTGAGATGTGCTCCTTAATGGCCGATGAGGTCATGGATTTTTCCACAGCTTAATTACATAAATATCTCCTTATATACCCAGAGTAAATACTGAGGCTTAATTGTGTATTTAGTATTCTCTTTTCAAATCATTTTATTTGGAATACTTTTATCCATAAGGTTTATTTTTTGAAAGGAATCTTAAAACGTTTTTCCATAAACACATGTTTCCCTCCAGTGCACACAGCTGTATTATTGACATACAAGAAACAGGAATAGTTGATTAACAATGAACAAGTTTATTTGCTTTTGAAACTCCAGGCCAACTGATAAAAAACAGAAAATTTCTTTACTGCAATTGGAATTGGATTTGATTTTTTCCTCTCTTCCATAAATATTAGCTCAGTGATTGCCAATAAAGGAAATATAGCAATGAATCAAAGTACCTGCACTCAACTTACATAATAGTGAGGAGGACAATAAAAACTAAATACATTGCATGGTAATAAATGTTAGTTCATATAAAAGCTTACCCAGTTCAAAGAAAAATACTTTGGACAGGGTAAGGCAGACAAAGTAGGGGTGGGGATGAGGTGAGATGTATGAGTGCTCCGTCATAAAAAATATCAAAAGGTGACATGTGATCAGAGAACCAGAGAAAGTGATGGAGCCAGGTGGATGGATACAGAGAAGAGCATTCCAGGACCATGGATGAGAGGCCCCATAATAAAAGAATGCTGGCTTTCTAAAACACAATTTAGAGTACACAATTGAGTGTAACTCACTACTCAATCACATAATGATTGTGACAACTTAAAAGGGATAAAAATCAAAGACGGCAAAGTGATGATTATATGAAAATCAGAAATATCTTTCTATGTAACTCCAAAAAAAATCTAGAGACTTACCTCTTCTACTAACTGGACACCATAATCCCTTTTAAGTGGCTGAACGGTCACACCTCTTCCATTGATGAGTTGGGTTAAGTCAATAGGTTGAGTGGGGTCAACTCGACCCAAATCAATAAGATACTGCAGTCTGTTGAGACTCAAAGGCTGATACTGGCGTCTGAAGCTACAAGAAAGTAACAGTGGAAAAACCCAGTCAGAAAGATAAGAAACTTAACCTTTCTGTAAGTTCTCCAAATCAACTCAAAGCTTTGTTCTGTGATTTTTTTCCTCCATCAATTTAGATGTTTTAACAAAATAAAACCCTCCTGAATATAATAAAAACATGTGATACTGCTTGTTTTTTTGTAAAATAATTTACCTCTCTAAGCATTTATTTCACTCATTTACACAAATAAGTTTGTGAAAAATTACTGGGTGACAAAATGGGCCAGAATTTTATATATGTTTTGCTAAGCCTTTGAAGAACTATGAGAGCAGGCACTATTATCTCCATTATGCAGGTCTGAGTGCAATGTCTGGGGTTTTCTTCCTATTAATTCAGGCTAAATTTCATTACCGAAAATAATTCAGAGAAACAATAACAAAAGTTGGTTTCAAAGTGAATTTAAATTTGTACCAAGCTATTTTTTTAGGTTTTTCTCAGTGAAATTAGAGACTTTTACTTTAAAAACCAAAAGCAGCCTTACCTATGTCCTTCATTAAACCCGTATTTGGGGATTCGGATGTAAAATGGGGTCTGGCCTCCCTCGAAGCCCAGTCGGGGCCGGGTGCCCCTCTGCCGTTCTCCTTTATGGCCTCTGCCACATTTTCTACCTCTTCTCCGACCTCTTCGTCGTCTTTCCTACAAAGAAAGTTTTATGATCTACTAATGTATTTTTTTAAAACTGTATTTTACCTTTTCACTGTATATATTTTATGCCATTTATTCATCCAACCAAACCATACTAGCTAAAACTACTATGTGCCCTGCACAGTTCTAGGTGTTCTCATGTCTACACACTGAATCAGTATCTCTCTCTGCCTCTGAAGATGTAGTCGATTCTTGCAAAGTCCAAGTTGTGTTTCAAAGGCAACGAATAAGGATTCTATGACAGGCTTGCACTGAAAAATGCTAGAATTAAACATCCACAACAAACAATGATACAGAATATTCGAGAAAATTTATTTTGCGATTAATTGTAAATATGTATTTGTTACGTATATTATTTTATTTAAAGATTAACTTGAGAAAATACTTTTACTTCCTGTGGCCTCACAAAAAAAAATACTGATTTTTTTAAAATTACAGTATGTCAACTCTTCAGAGCTGTATTCAGTGATTTTTCAAGACATCTAACGTAGCAAATCAACTCAAATCTTTCCCATGAAGACAAAGATACATTAGAAAAGCACTTCATTTTAAATCCAACTTTGAATGAGGCGATCATTTTGTCGTTTTTGCGACTTCGAAACTCTAATGAACTATACTTTTAAATGGAAACCTTATTAAGAATCGGAACCACATGAGAAGCTTATCCTCTCTGCAATGAGGTGTTGCAACCCCACGCTCAACCGAACACCCTTCAGGAAAGGAGTCCTCCAGCACGACCTTAAGGCCGCTCTCAGGGCCCCCGTCCCCCAGCGCTTCCCGCACCGCCACCAGCGATTTACCAATTTCCTGGAACCTGGATTCGGCTTTAGGTTGGCCAGACTCACACGGGGCAGGGCCCGGATTAAATCCAGAGCCTTGGCCCCACCACCTTGGAGAGAACCACCCATGACATGCACCGCCAAAAACCTTCACCAGCACCCTTCCCACTCCCGCGCCCACTGGGTCCCGAGACACTGCTTTACGGACTCGGCCCCGCCTCTGTCGTACTGCAGCGTCCGCTGCGTCCGCAGCGCCCTCTCCCCGGCGGCTCGCTGGGATGCTGACGTCTGGCTATTCTTTTTGACCACGTGATCCTTTCTTGAGCGTTCGTTCTTTGACGTGGGGCTGTCTGCACGCTTACGTACAATGTTTTCTTACTCCGTGCATTGAGAATGCTGCTCCGTAGGGAATCTTTGAGTCTGTGTGTCGCATGGTAGTCCTTTTGACGCAGTGTCTTCTCTAATCTCAATGTGGAGCCTGGAAGAAAATAATGCGCTAAATTAAAATATTGGCTTTGCGCTTGGGTAATCACTTGTGGCAAAATAAAATAATACTCGATGTGTATAAGTAAGTATGGACACCAGTTGTATTTTTCAAATATTTTAACAATTTTTTTCAAGGAGGTAAATAGGTATTTTTCAAATAACTATTTTAACAATTTTTTTCAAGGGTCCAACTATTAAAATTCTTCCCTAGTAATAACTTGTGAATAAGATTAAAGTACGCATTTTCATCCGTGTGCGTGTATATTGCCTTAGTCGAGTCATTGGGATACTAACTTCACTTACTATTAGTAATGATAGGAACTGGGCTTGTTAAGTGTCCAACGCTGTGTTAAGTCAGTCTTACTTGATTTATCTAACTAAAGAACAATTGGTAGAGGTAGATACTACCTTTTTATAGATGGAGACAGCAAGCTTAGAAAAGTCGGTCAGGTAGCTTGACCAAGGTCTCACAACAATCAGCAAAGCCAGGATTCAAACTTACACTGCGTCCTATTGTAAAGCTAGTTATTTTTTATAATATAAAAATTGAGTATATGCAGCAAAAAATATCCAACTCTAAAAATGTCAGTTCCTTAATTTTGCCTCAGTTGAGGCTAATATAGAAGACCTTCCTTTTTTCTTTTTATTGTTCTTTTTATATTTTACCATTTTTCTGGGAATTTTTTCCTGCTGATTCCTATTAGCGATCACAAATAGTAAGTGAGAAATTTTTGGAGGGCAATTTGATAGAAGAAACATCCAAACCTGTAGAGAATTTTTATGAGTTTGTCTGAGCCCAACTGACAGCAATTGCTGGGAAGCAAAATCTCAACAGATTGAGAAAATGCTCCAGAGAATGGCAGTTTTACAGTTTATTTTATATATATTAAAATCAAAGGGAAAGACATAAGGAGGGACATGAAGTTCATTGGTGGCAGTTAGGGAGGTGGGAGAAAGTAGAGTGGGGAGAGGGAATCTCTGAGACTGAAGAAAGAGTAAAATGCAGTGACACTTCTTTTATATTGGTAGGTATAGGTGACTTAACATATCAACATTTACAGCACAGAGAGATGGTATTCCAGGAACAAGATAACAGTGAGAGGTTCTGTAGTCTTGGGCTCTGGTGCATGGGTGTGCCCTGAGTAGTCTTTAGATTCTCTGACATTCCCAGGGTATGTTATCTTAGATGCAAAAAGACAATAGACTGGCATATCTAAGGTAAAGACTGGCCTTTGTCAAGGAAGCTGGCACAGGACCCACTGACCGGCCATGACTCACTTTTAATTTAGTTTGGGCATGAAAATTCCTTTGCAGTTACTTTCAGTCTCTGAGTTTATAAGGCCCACATGCAGCCTGCCCTGAGCTTCTCAGGTTTAGTAGGTGGCCCCTTTTTTTGTCCACAGCAGCTACTTCTATGCTTAACTATAGCTTTCTGAAGTTATTTTAAGTCAAGTATAAAAAACTAGAGAAAGTAAAGGTTGCTTTCATTTCCATAGTTAAGCAATATTTATGAGCAAGACACTGAACTTGTTACTGAAGTCAAATAGGATCTTTATCCCAGTTTGTTTGAAATCTAGTATGGGAGACTTTCCAAAATTGAATATTCTTTTAAAGTTAAAAAATAATGTAGACTTCTTGTAGACCTAATAGTACAAATACAAAAAAGTCTCTAAAAAACAAATATAAGTTCTATAAAACAATAGGAAGATAAGGTCTAGACCAGGGGTGACAAGCTCATTTTCACTGGGAGCCACATCAGCTGACGTGGACCCCCATTTGGGGGTCTGCCACATTGTAGATGAGGCACAAGAAATTCACATGGACTACCAAGTCCTGTGGAGGAAAAGGGACCACATGGCCACCCTCTCAAGAGGAGAGTGCCCCAACGCTTGCTCTGACAAACTTTTATTGGGTTCATTTTGCACAGGAATATAGGTAAAGTTCATTAATCATTGTCAGGCAGTAAGGGTCAAACAATAGATAGCATACAAAGAACTAAGGGCTTATTCTGAGTCAGGGTCTATTAGCTAAAGGGCTACAAAACTTTGGGAAACAAACTCATTTCTGCTCAGACCCTTATCATTTAATTGAGAGCATTCTTAGCAAAGCAGGTTTCATAGGGGTTTACGTATTTTTTCTTAGGCCTGGTCACCCAGGGAACCTGCCCTTTCCAGCACAGGGCTGCACAGCCCTCTGTCATTGTTTCAGGTTTAAGTCAGGCAGAAGTAAGGCAGCCAAGAGATTAGGAGAGTTCTCACACACAGAATGAGGACTCAGGCTATGTCAAAGTGGAGGGGTGAGGGTCCATCACCCCCTTTTGCTGTAGATCCCCCAAGTCCTTTCCTGGGGCCTCCATGTGATCATGCCTTTCTTAGGTCATCCCCCCCATGGGGAATCTTGCCTGTCATTGACTAACCGATCAAGCATTGGAGGCCAGTTATGGATGAAGTAAAAGGAGCAGAAGTGGTGCTCCTACCAGGGAGATAAGTTTTGTCTCCTTAGTGGCTTATGGTCTGAAGGTCCATATGCTCACTCACCATTAGCCATGGTTGGGGGGGTTACAGCTTCTGAAACCAGGCAAGGTAGTTCCCAACAATCAGCCTTGTGGTTGCCTTCAAAGAACCAAAATAATTTTAGGACTGTATAAATGTAATTACTCCTTAACTGTTAAAGAGCTGAAATTACATTCGGCCCTTTGAAGGCAACCACAAGGCTGATGTGGCCCCGGGTGAAAATGAGTTTGACACTCCTTGTCTAGACTCTATTTAGAAGTCCAGTACAAAAAATCTAGGAGAAAAAAGGAAACTAGTTTCTGCCTTTAAGGTTTCTCAATTCAATATATTTTATCATCTTGTCAGAAATTTCATACTTCTGGAAAGAAAATTTCAAAATATATTGCAAATATGACCTAATCTGCAGAAAAATACACATTTCCCCCTCTACCTAGAAAATCATTTCTTGCATTAAGTAATTAACTTCTGGGTGAGTGATAGTACCAATAATGTTTTTTGTCATGACAAAAATTTTATTGAATGAAAGAGATACAAGAAGTATAAAACAATATGCTACTCTTCTTGGATGTGGATGTTCTATGTTGTGTAGGTTATGTAATGTTATTGGTGTACATCATTTAATAATAGTGGAAATAATTGTTTTTTGTTAAATTGCAGGTTCCATGTTTGTTTATCCTATATCCAACATGTTGATTAAGCATATAAAACTGTCCAAATAATTCAATGTTTCTTTTTTAAAAATGTTATGAGTTTATTTGAGCTAAATTGATGACATATGCTGGGAAACAAGATCTCAAATGCTCTGAGGAGTTTCATGTGTGTTGTAAGAATGTGAATTAAGCCTATAGAAGTTTTAGATCATTATTGTCATTGCACATTAATATTTATTAATATTTATAAGCACCCATATGGTTGGGGTGTTGTGCTAAACCCAGTTAAAATCAAGTTAAGGAGATCATGTAGTAAGAAAACATCTCAATTACTTAAGGTCTAGTTAAGGTCCATCCTGTTTCCAGCCCCAGTTAATAGTGACTACTGAATCATATAAAAAGAATTAAATAAACCCTGTAAAATGGTATAATCTGAAGTCCCTTGAGAAGGTCTCTCCTCCCACACTCCCAAGCAATCTTCCCCCACCTTTTTCCAGTGCCTGACATTCTTCAACATAGATTAATTATTTTGAGCTCATTACTTAAAAAAGAAAATCCTCAAAGTGGAGAGTGAATGAGAGTGGTGGTGAAGAACAAAAGGGATAAATTCATCAAAGAAGGTGCTCTGTATGAACCATAAGGATAATATATAGTGTAATACATAGTCATCATAGTGATGACTCTGAACAACTTAACCCTCTGTTTCTGAGATTAAAAAACAAGACAAAACAAAAACAGGCACATTAAACTTGCCCACCTAATGTCCCTAAATGAGATCATACATTTGGCAGGTATAACATCAGGTGGAGAAAAGGAACTTCATTTATTATATTATTATTGAATTTTACTATGAACCAAGAACAAGATATATTAAGAAGGGGACTAAGAACAGACTAATTTTGTGATGATCAAAATTGAGGAGTGGAAAACAGGAGAAGTGATTCTTCCTTAGTGAAAGTGAGAGGATGCCAGGAGCTGGAGAGCAGTGAACCCTTTGATATTGGGTGAAGAAAAATACAGAGAACTGTAAAAAGGGCATGGAAAGGGGCTAGAAATAAATGTTATCCGTCTCCTCACTCTTGCATTATCAATCTCTCCCCCTGCTAGTTAGTCTCATTAGCATATAAAATGCTCTAATAGGGCTCATCTTAAAAAACAAAACACTTAATCTGATAAGAAATGCAATCAAAGTATAATGAGATATCACCCCACACATGATAAAATGACTTATGAAAAAAAAGGATAACAATTATCAGTGAGGATGTGTGGAAATTGGGAAGTTGGAACCTTTGTACATATAAAATGGTACAGCCACTATGGAAAACAGTATGGAGGTTCCTCAAAAAATTTAAGAAATAACAATCATATGATCCAGCAATTCCACTCCTGGGTACATATCAAAAGAATTGAAATTGGAATCTTGTAGCAATACTTGTACTCCAATATTTATTGCAGTGTTACTCATAATAACCAAGATATGGGAACAATCCAAATGTCTATCAAGAGATAAGTAGATAAAGAAAATGTGGGGTATATATACAATTAAATATTATTCAGACTT